TGCTTGAAAACAAATTTTTATAAAAAGTCGAAATAATGGCTATTATATGTGAAACAATTTTCATCATAACCATTACTGAATGATTCTGTATAATAGAAGTATAGAAGATATGTAAAAACATGTACGTAGTTAAAAATGTATATGTACCATTTGAATTGAAACTTTACAAGAAAGTTTTAGTCAAAATCTTCATTGTTAATATTATTAATGAAAAATATCAGCTGATAGAAAATTTTAACTCAATCTTTTTTGATTAATGATTCTATGTGTTGTAAGGATCGTTTCAATACTATGGCAACATTGTTTACAGACTAAGTAACCATTTTTTTTTTGTTTTTCTGAAATGACTGTAAATTTCCGTTATAATTGTTTTCTGATAATGCAAGCAAGGAGATATTGAATGATTCGTGAATTTTTCAAGTCATTAACGAACACAAAATTTCCATTTTGGATTTCCAAATCAATAATTAAATATTGAAAAACTAGAGTTTCATATGCGTAGATATTTTATATTTTGTAAAACGACTCTTTTACCAAACTTCTACAAGAATCATTGTTGAAACAAGATAAAATTCTGATTCTAATTCAATATTTTCAAACTTCTGCAGACTTCTCTAAGAAACTGAAAACATTTTGTCATATAACTTTTCGATTACCCGTTATTTAAACTAATTCTATTACTTTTGTTTCTCGCATCCAAAGACTCAGAAATACTTCAAAATATCGTGACAGATATGTCCTACATTCAAATTCTTTGAGTATTAGTTGAAACCACGAGTTCAAGAGAGATGGGACTTACAAGAAAAGTATGGTGACTGATTAAGGATTTTTGAGTCAGGTCTATGTGCATTATGTAGATCTTAATGAACTATGAATACCCTGAAGTATTTTGGATTCTTAATCTATTGTTGTGGAAATACTGCATTTTCGTGGAATTTTATAAGTCACAGGCAGATATTTTTGAGAATAGTTTATTGTGAAAGATTCAAATCTTTTGATTTTGTCCTATCCTGAAATAAGAATATCGAATCTACCAATGCATATAAGCAATAGAAAAAACAAGCTTTTATTATAGCTGTATTTTAGAATAAGATCAATGAAAAACTTGGACGCTTTCAGAATAAATTTTTCTCAGTAAGGTCTACTTTTATAGAGAGTTTCAAGTAGAAATTCGAAAATGAGTTTTCCTAAGAGTGACTAAGGTATTGACTTAAAACGTGTAGTATCTCTGCAGCAACAATTCAAGAGGCCAAACTCTTTTCGGACTATTCAAAGCTGATTAAGGTCCTACATGAGATACATAGTTTTCACTTAAAAGCGATTAATCAGTTCGTAGATTATCACAATTAGATTGACTCTTTAATCTGCTCCTATTAGACGTAGCCAAGATCCTTATGCGATGGTAGCTTTACACGTTTTGTTTCAACAGGCTGCTGTCTTATTGACAACTATTTCGTGATAAGTAGACGCCATTTCACTTTTCAAACATTGAGTTTTGTTTCAGCTGTGCGCAGATGATCTAATCGATGTATCAAATTGAGAGAGTCACTGCTCTCGTTTGTTTTTATCTGTAATGTAATTTTTTGTAATGAAACTATTCCAGCCAAATCAGAACGAGTTTTCATCGGTTCACCAACATCTTTTTTATATTTATTTTTTACAACTGTTTGTACGTATTAATCTTTCATCTTAATTTAAGTTTATCTAAGAAAATGTTTAGTTCTAACCATCTGTATTTCGGTACAAAATAAACAGCCTCATTTATTTTGTATCACTTGTTATGTCTAATTAAGTCTTCTCATTTCTTTTTTTTTTGTTTTTAGAGCGCTGCTACTCGCTTTGCTTCGTTATTTCGATAACTATCATAAAAGAAAATCCTTTTTGTTTGTAAACTATAATACATCTGTACCCAGAATATGTTTCTTCATTGTATGTACATATATTATCTATTTGTAATTGAATGCGAATGCTCATTTTTTCTTGTTAGAAGTTTATTTATAATGATGTTAAGCGGAAAAAAGAAGAAAATGACATGTTATGTGTTATATGCAGAAAAAAAAATGCGATAATAATCAAAGTAATTTAGTTAATTATTATTTTGTTTTCTATTCGCATGGATGAATTTTGGAGTATAGTGTAACTCCAACAATACGTAAGCACAGTCGCTTACCACTCATCGAAACAGTATGAGCATCACGCCAATAGCGACCAATCATATCTTTTTGAACAATAACTTTCATATTTTGAGCATTTGATGGTATTGTTACGGATGTTGTTTGATGCGTCCATAATATTTTACTTTCAACTATATATGGTTGACAAGCAGCATCTGTATAGAGAATACGAAGACGAGTATCCATTGCAGCACGATTTTGAAGAGTTATAACAAAATCTTCAATATAGAAAGTTGGTCAAAAAATTAAAAAAATAAAATAGAAAATATTTACCTCCATCATTTTGTTGTGAGTTCGATGATTCACGTGATCCTAAAACCTCTTTATGTTTATCGTCATCTACTTCATCTTCCATCAGTTTCAAGAAACTTCGTAGATCTAAAAAAAAACTTATTATATGTATGCGGTATCGAATGCTTAAAGAAAAATCTACCTAGGTCCATTGCATCTTTATTTCGGTGAATTTCATCTTCATCTAAATAGAATATTTGATAAGAAAATAAATAAAAAAAGAAAGAATTTCGAAACATAATGTTCATATTTTAGCAACAGTCAACATTTTTTTTTCAAATAGCGAAGATTGATTGGTAAGTTTCCATACTTATTTAATATTGACGCTACAATTGAATTGGTGTCAGTATACGCATTATAGTTAGTGACCTGTGACTGTCAAAAATCTCAAGAGAAGAACTCCGGGCTTCTTTTTTCAAAAAAAATTTTCGATAAGAAGTAAGAAAAATCTCTAGAGATCAAAAGAATTCTATTTAGTTTTACAGAATAGATAGACAATTTCTTTTGGTAAATATTGAGATAATGATTTGAATCATGCTTTAAACTATATATCCGAGACACATGCCAAAATCAAGCTTACATCGAAATGGAACGTCATTTATTTCTAAGAAAATCTTGTGTAATATAGTATAAGACAAAAAGCATGCGAAGTTCACCTCTTTCATGAGTGAAAAGTTTTGTTGTTTTTTTTGTGACTATTTAACAGTCTGAAGTAGTATCTATCTAATGAGTATATTTTGAGATAAAAAAACAATCTTCAAATGTTGAAAAATTTGAGAAGAAATCAAATTAGTAAAAACTGTACATTGTGTGATGTTTTTCTTAAAAGTAATTTTTACACTGAAAAATTGAAGCTTTCTTCCTATTTCTCCTCAACGCTTCAATCGATTGAGCTGAAAGTTTTTGTGTGAGAACTAAGAGCACATTAGGATGTATACTTTTTTTCTTGAAAACTTGCTCTAGTGATTTTTGGTAGAGTTCACAAAACTTGACCTATACAAAAGAATACATTTTTGAAAGAGCTTCAAGTAGTTTGGTTTTTCTAGGCAAAAAAACAATATTTTTCAAAAAGAAAATAGACACTCCAGTTTCGCCCTAGTTGTTACAACAATAATCAGACAAAAAAGTCATGACTATTTACGAAAAGGGATGCACTTCAACTCATTTTCACCCTTGCATTTTCTGTATCTCATATGAGAAAGCATTCGAAGTTCAAACTCTACAACAGCTTTCACTCCACTAGTCGAAATCTATCTACCATCAAAGTTTCAGAACTTTTTTATCGAGTTGTCGTTGAGAAACTCTGGAAAAGGGAGAAATGACCTTAATTAACTATGATGAATCATCAAAAACGAAAGGTATTTGTGTGATAACATAGTTGCTGTAAAGAAGTTTTAAAGTTAATATAAGAAAACAACATACGGCGTCGACGCTCTCGATTAAAGTCTTCCAAATTACCGTCTCTTGATTCTAAACAATATTGAAAAATAAAAAATTTCAATACTAAAACATAACTGATATTTATACTAACCTAGAAAGTGTCGAAGTTCAGCAACATGTTGTTCGAAGGTTTTGTCCAAACTAGCTGCAAGAGATACGAAGAATAAGAGCAAGAGACAAGTTTTTATGTTGGCCATTTTCTGATTGTTTATCACTACTAATGCTGTGTATAATAACAAATGCGAAACTCAAATATTATCGCTTTACGCATCATTGAATTGCATGTTTATTTTTTGTATTTACGAACGATTTCGTTGTCTAACAAGGCGATTATTACTCCTCCGTTTTTTACCGTTCCTCTCGAAAAAGAAAAAAACTCGTCCGATTGTTTTCATTATTGATATTTACCATATGCGCATGTCTTGTTTTTTAGATACCAGTCATATTTATATGATAATATAGGCTTATTGTGTAATTATTGACGTTCTATTTTCAATGTAAATATTAGGAAAGAGCAACAAATAAAATAGAATCAATGCATATATGTATATTATTAATCCTCACGGATATATGAGTGAGTTATTGAACCATGAATGTGACTAATAATGATTATAAATATCAATTATCATTTAGTTGATTGCTTGAAAATAAGAATATGCATCTAATAAACATTGAAACTTCTACACTTGAAAATAAATTAGTTTGATATGAAAGAGAATTTGTAATCAGTGCATATTTCGATGAACGACATTATTTTCTTGTTGTCGTCTAACATAAAGAACTATCTTCTAAAAACTATTGATTAATATTTTATATATTTCATTGAACGTTCGACAAAACAGATAGAATGTTGAAATTAAATATGCAACGTTTAAAAATCAGTTAACATGATAAACTATTAGAATATTTGTTGAAGCACTGAAATAATATGAAATTAGGAAAAAAAAATTATTACAACGTTGATATGCTGAAATATTATTTTTGTCTATTAGACACAAGAACGTCATCATTTTTTATTTGAAGATGTTTACGATTCGTAGACGTTTGAAACTAAATTTTGATTGCATTCACAATAATGATAGTTCAGAGTCATTCATAAAGAACGCTGAGATAAAAATCTTATTGTTTACTGCCTTCAGTTCAGTTTCATCGATCCCTCCGCTTTTGAACGTCCAGAAAAGTCCATCAGATTCAACGTTTTCGGACTTGGGTAACAGGAAAATTCCAGACCCAAATTCAACAGCCTGTAACATCCAGTAAAAAGAAAAAAGAAGCTTTCTGAAAAAATGCACTTGCTGACATATACTGCTTCGTTTGGTTAAGTAATAGTGCGCTAAATAAATATACCGAAAATAGAAATGAATAAAGACACCTTTCATAACTAACAAACAAAACCTAATCTATTGCGAAGTTTTTTTTTTTAAATACATTCGATTTTCATGAGCAGAAAATAGTAAAAGCAAAGGATGTAGTTCGGTGCCTATAGCGCTTGAATATCTCATATAACTGCTCCATAAAATAACTATCTGCTCATGTAATATAATCTACAATTATTTCAATAACAAACTCATATTCAATGGATGCATTTCAAGTCATTTTCTATTTGAAACTGCTCTTTAAACCAAACTGACCTTGAAAATTTTGGGAGAAGCTTGATGAAAAAAATACTTATAGTAAGTATCTAAATGTCCTTTGTATATGTACTATTATATGTTGAAGAATTTTTACAACTACCATTACTGTATGATTCTGTATCATAGAAGTATAGAAGATACTTAAAAACATTTAGTTAAAAACGCATATATAACATTTAAATTAAAACTTCAAAAGAAAGTTTTACTCAAATTGTTGTTTGTCGATATTATTGATTATTCAAAGGTAAATATTTTGAATCGAGAATGTTAAAATCAATGAGAAACATCAGTTGGTTGAAAATTTTAATTGAATCTTTTTTGATTTATTGTTCTATTTATAAGAATCGTTTCAATATGTATCAGAAAGTTTTGTTTTTTATCATACTAAATTGTAGAAGAATGACTATCTATCAGCAATGAAATAATCATAATATATACACAGTTAATTTCGAATTTTTAACTTGTCAGTGACTCTTTCCAAGCGAGACATGTCTTGTCTTGCCAGCTAAGATACTGTCTATCATTTGCTGGTCTAATTCGTAAAATTCTATAGATTAGACAACAATTTTAGCGAATTTCTTAGCAAAAAGAGACTCAAAAAAAGAATTATACACAAGAAAATTGACCTTTTTTGAAGATTTTCATTGAATGAATCCATACTATAAGAAAATTTATCAATTATACTGATGACTTCCGTTAATAAAAGTAAAATCATAATAGAATAAAGGTTTTATTTTTATCAATATTGAGATTATTTTTTTCAAAATATTTCTCCATACATGGTCAAGAATGTTCATGTGGTATGTATCTTGTATGGTATTTTCTAATCTCTTTCGATAAACACAAAACAGCCCAATATTTTTTTGATCATTAAAACAAAACAATTTCAAAATCTAAGAAAAAATAAACTCTAAAATATTTTGAGCCTTCCAGATAAATGAATGCATGTGCTTTCTTTTTTTTTAATCTCTTTACTAGAGACTTGCAAAATGATTATAGGTCACGATGATACTTAACGATACCTAACTTCAAAAACAATTCTTGTTCTTAATGAAAACTGTGGTTAAGCAAATCTATGATTACATAGATTCTTTTCAATGAATTAATACATCAAATAGATTTTAAAAAGATAAAAACGAACTGACTATGTCCTAAAGAATGCATATGGAAGATTTCTTTGCAATTGATAATTCAGAAAAAGTTCTTGTTTCTTTCTTTTGATGTCGATGTTATCATGCTTTTTATGCATTTTTGTTTTTCAACATACTTGTTATGTTATATGCATTGAAAACTATAAGTGTATATAAATTTTGTCTTATATTAAATATATCACTACGATATTGATTGTTTTAAGTATGATGCTATTATTTTTTTTCGTGTGATCATGAACAAGGATCAAAATATTGATGATTATATTTATTATCTAGATCATCCAGGCTTGTCTTGATAAAAATATTTAAAAAGAAAACAAATAGTAATTGTCTATATACGTATAAATAGAAAAACAATGCTATAAACATGATCTTAACGAATACAATGATTGTCCCTGTAAGTGACTTTATTATGTTTAATCTATATTAATATGTCTATTGTCATAGTCGATGATCATTGTCAAGATGGCCAATGTTATTCCTTTGGTATAACTTCAGTTGCAGATTTCATATCAACCAAAACGTACGTTTTAGTTTATATTGATTTGACTCTATTTAGTGTCATTGATTTGATTATTGGCACTGTATATTGGCATAATGAGCAAATGAATAGTGTAATAAGAGAGCCAATTTTATTATCATCGTTCTCTACATCTTCAGATACTTCATCTGAAACTACTAATTCATCTACAGTTCGAATATACTCATTAATACACCTGTTGATACCCGTATTAACTTAAAATTCTCAACGACCACTACATCTGTAAATCAAAAAAAAATTGCAAAAAGCAAACAATTCAAACACACTGATAACTTCGTTTTACGATGTTGAAAAAAAA